TAGTAGAGTGGGTAGGGTGTTTGCCTTGCACGCGGCCTACCCGAGTTCAATTCCCAGTATCCCATACAATCCCCTGAGCACCGTCAGGAGTCATTCCTGAGTGCAAAGCCAGGAGTAAACCCTGTGCATAGCCGGGTGTGACCCAAGTGAAAAACAAACAAGAGTTTGACCTGTATGTGAAAGTAGATTATAAAAAAAAAAAGAGGCACTGCCTGGATCAGACACATGCTAAGAGTGGCCCTAATTTTTAAAGTAGGGATGTTGAAAATCTTATAAAATAAAGCAGTAACAGAGATGAGAATATGTTTAAGATTTTAAAGGAAATAAGAATGAAACGACTACAAGGAGTTAATACTTTAAGGGGAGAGGAATGTGGAGTAAAGGTCAAAATGAAGGATGATACCCAAGTTCTTGTCCGCTAGCAACATATGACATGGGAAAGACTGGGCTGAGGGGAAGAAAGGATGATTCAAATCAAGAGCTCTGTTTTAGATGCATTGAGTTTGACATGCCTACTGGATCTCCAAATGTGAATACCAAAGTGGGGAAAAGTCTGGTTCTACTATGGCTCAAAGGCCAATCAATTGAGAGATACAGAGATGGTTCAAGAAAGAACAGTATGTGGCCACATGCTGAGAGGTTGGAAGATGGTGAACTTACATGCCCCACCAAAAACATCTTGGCTACATAGTCACAAGAGGCAGTTTTCATAGGAAAAGAGAACAGGGAAGCATGTATTTAGGAATTGCGAAACACAAACCGGTAAGCCTTAGAATAGCACTGTAGCACTGTCCTCCCGTTGTTCATCGATTTGCTCGAGCGGGCTCCAGTAACGTCTCCATTGTGAGACTTGTTACTGTTTTTGGCATATCAAATACGCCATGGGGAGCTTGCCAGGCTCTGCAGTGAGGGCAGGATACTCTTGGTAGCTTGCCGGCCTCTTCGAGAGGGACGAAGGAATTGAACCAGGGTGGGCTGCATGCAAGGCAAACACCCTATTTGCTCAAGAAATTCCTTGGGCCAGAGAGATGGTATCAAGGTTAAGGCACTTGAACTGCATGCAGCTGGGTCCCAGGCACCACATATGGTCGGTCCCTCAAACACTACCAGGAGTGCTCCCAGAGCACAGAGCCAGGAGTAAAGCCAGAATTTAGTTGAGTGTGGCCCAACACCCACCCACCCAGCACACCAAACAAACAAAAAAATCCTTTATGGAAGGAAGATTCCCTGAAGCTTACTTCAATGTGTGTGCAGATAAAGATTTTCTGACCAAAGGCTTCTGCACTCTTATTATGTAGGACAAGGGATTCATTCAACTTTTTCTACCACTTCTTCCAAGATAAGGACTTTTGATTTCTAATACTGAGTTATGGAGCCAGAGAAAGTATAGCTAGTAAGGTGCTTGTCTTACATCTCATATTCAATCCCTAACATCACACATGGTCTCCCAAGAACTACTGGGGATGATCCCTGAACACAGAGCCAGGAATAAGCTCAGAACAGTGCTGGGTATAGCCCAAAATCTAAAAACAACAAAATACACTAAATTCAGATTTGTTTTTGTTTATTTTGGGACCACACCTTGAGTGCTCAGGGCATCACTCCTGGCAGTGCTTGGGGGAACACATGTGGTGTGAGGATAGGATCAAACCAGGACTGGGTGTGTACAAGCAAGTGCCTTAACCCCTGTGCTTTTTTTTCTCTAGCCCTGAATTCACATCTTAATCTCTTTGGGCCAGTTTAAATCTCTATTGTCAGCTCTTCCTTCCATTTCTATGAAGTTGGGCATCAAGACAAATCTAAGTGCTTCTTGTTCAACAAGGGAGGTGTGGGGAGTTTGGAAGAGATTGATGCCTGCAGGAGAAATAACCCTATATCCCTGTTCCTAGGGATTCTAGCATAAGGGGAAGCAGTTTTCTATGAGACAATTCTCTTTTATGCTGTTTATTTTAGAAAAGGAGTCCCAACTCAGATCCATTTCCTGCTAAATGGGAGCAACATGGGCAGAAGGGTGGAATAGAACTGACCTGGGGAGAAAAACATCCCTTCAAAAATAAACTATGGGGGTCGAGGGTCAGAGAGATAGTACAGTAGGTAAGACACTTGTCCTGCATGTGGCCAGCCTGGGTTTAATCCATATGGCCCCCAAAGCACCGCCAAGAATGGTTCCTTAGTGGAGAGCCAGGAGTAACTCCTGAGCATCAATGGGTATGACTAAAAACCAAACAAACAAAAACACAGATAACTACATTCTACTTTAGTGTCTCTCACTCGAAACTAACCTTAACTCAAGACATAGCTGGGGGTGCAGATTTATGCTACTTCATAGTCCCACCTTCGGGACTTCTTGAGAAATTCCATAACTCAGAAGCTTTTTGTCCAATTATTACAGAGAACCAGTCTGTCCTGAAGATAAATCAGTTCACTTAAGGAGCTGTGTCAAAATTACCGATGTCGAGTAAGAGAGACAAAAAGTTAAAAAGGAACTGAAAGTCTAATCAAGAGCTTCAAGAAGTGCCAGTTCCATCAAAGTATCTTAAGATGATAGGTATTCCTGGTTTGCAATATCTCTGATGTCCTCAAGCACTGGGGAAAATTCAGGATTCATTCCAGTGCATATAAAATAAGAAAAACTTTAGAAAATGAGTAAGAAAACAACTGCAACTGATCTCCACAAAAAAGCATATTACTATAACACATTTTTCTTTCCCCATTAATTCCTAGTCTACCCCTAATAGGGGCTGGAGCGATAGCACAGCGGTAGGGCGTTCGCCTTACAAGCGGCCAACATGGCCGACCCGAGTTCGATTCCTCCGCCCCTCTCGGAGAGCCCGGCAAGCTACCGAGAGTATTCGATATGCCAGATACAGTAACAACAAAGTCTCCAATGGAGACGTTACTGGGCCCGCTCGAGCAAATCGACGATCAATGGGAGGGCCTTTACCTTACCTTACCCCTAATTACAGCAGCAGATCAAATTTTTCCTCTAAAAATTTTGTAGTCATTTTGCATAAACACAATAAAGAACAGAGATTGCAAGCAAATTTTCTGTTCTTTACACCCCATTTGCCCCCATTATTTTGCTGAAAAAAGTACTGGGCATTGGCCAAGAACAGAGTAGGTGGTTGCCATGTCAATTAAGAAATTATTATTTCTATCTGCCATGTCAAAGATTACCCAAGGCTCTGCCCATGTGACAGTGTGCAGAGTTGGAGGTGGCCTCGGGCTTCTTTCACCTTCTTGACCTCATATCTCATCAGCCTCCAAGGGCCAGAAGCCTCTTTTCCATTCCAATAAAAATAAGGTGTTCTTTACCATACCTGGCCTCTCATTCCATAGAGTTTTTTGAAATTAAAATCAAATAACTACTTGGAGCTTTGAACTACGTACGATACAAAAGCAAGTTTCTATTAAAGGTGTTATATGGCTTAGATCCCTATGAAGCTTGTATCGTCTTTTTTTTTTTTTTTTTTTTTTTTGTGGGGATGTGACGGGCAAAGCTCAGGGGTTACTGCTGGCTCTGCACTCAGGAATGACTTGTGGCAGTGCTGGGGGGACCATAAGGGATGCCGGGGATCAAAACCAGGTTGGCCATGTGCAAGGCAAGAGCTATTATACCTGCTGCACTATCACTCAGGCCAAAGCTTCTATCTTTAAATTAGAAAACACAAGATTCCTTTTGCTCAATCAAATCACAAAAATCTGGTTTCCCTAACTTTAGGAATCGTAAATATCTACAATTAGTCCCAAATCCTGACTTCACAAGCATGAAACTGAGAGGTTTCTTTCAATTGTTTTTTTCCATCAGAAAAGTCTGTTAGAAGTTTTAACTCCAATGCTCAATAAATCAAAATAATAATAAATTCCAAATACACATATAGTATATATATATATACTTACATACATGCATATGTCCAAGAGTATACACAGTTCTTATGCGAAGCATTTAAAACATAATCATGAAACACAAAAGCCCTACAGCATCTCTTCTGGATTCTTACCATTATTTCATCTACCTGAACCCACAGTTTAAAACAGTAATTACGGTGGTGGAGAATGGGCACTGGTGAAGGGATGGGTACTCGATCATTGTATAACTGAAACCTAAGCACAAAAATTTGTAAGTCTACAACTGTACCTCATGGTGTTTCACTAATAAAAATTTTTTTAAAAACTGTATTAAAACATAAACTTAAAAAAAAAAGTAATTACGAAAAAATTACAAACACACTGACATTCTAAAGGCTTCCCGATCTTCACAAACGCCCAGCTCCTTTGCCTAACAGACCTGTGGTTATCGGCTATAACCGATGTGTATGAAGATAATCAAAACATCTCCAAGTCTACTAAACATTACCTTGAGAAGAAAAAGTTAAGATCCTCTCCGGGTGTATGGACATCGACACACACACATACATACACACACACACACGTATACAGAGCTGTGTGTCTCTTATCTACTCGACCCTGGAAGTTGAACAGAGCCCGTGTGTTTTTTTTCCCTAAGTTCTGCCTGTCTCATTTAGGTTTGAAGTTTACTTTAAGCCAACACGAGCTGAACACCCAGTACCCAGTACCCTCACCCGGTGGTTAAATGAAGGAAGCAAACGGGGCCAAGGTTAAAAAAAAAAAAAAAAAATCTGGGCAGGCTGTGGTCTAGCAATGACAAGCACGGACCCTGCCCGTGAAGCCGTATCTAGCTTGCCCGAGGTGGCGATGCCCGGACCGTCCTCTTCCTTCTCCTTCCCCGGGATGCCAATGGGCCTTGTGCGTGGAGAAAGGGGGGTGAGGGTGGAGGGGGTGGGGTCTGCAGCCCACGCGGGAGAGGTGTGCGTGGACTGCAGCAATTGACTTCATCAAAGCCTTGCTGCCCCCCACCCCCACCCCCCCATCCCGGGCCCGTTTCAGAAACCCGGTCCGAACCGGCAAGTCTGCAAAGCAGCCACGTGAAGTCCCCGCCGGCTTGTGTAACTGCCCGACCACGGATGCCCCCCACTCACCGCACACCATCAGCAGCAGGACGATGAGCAGCGTGGCCACAAACACCAGCAGGGTCAGCCCCACGTTGTGCCACATTTTGGAGCGAGCGAGCGAGCGAACGAGGGAGAGGGAGCGAGCGAGCGGGCGAGGGCGCGGGAGCCGGGCGATCGGATCCGGGCGGCGCGGGCGGGCGGGCGGGCGGGATCCCGGCGGCGCCGCGTTCCGGCTTCAGCGGCAGGCGCCGGGCACTGCCGGGCACCACTCGGCGCGGACGCCCCCTCCTCGGCAGCGCCCCCCGGGGGCGGAGCGGCGCGGAGGCGGGCACCCCCGGCCGCCCGGCGAGCGGGCGGGTCCTTCGCCCTCGGAGGAAGCAGCAGACGAATCAAGGTGGGCCGCTGGGCGTCCCTGCCCTCTCATCGCTCCCGGGCACCGGAGACGCGGCGCTGCGAGACAACGACGGCGGCGGCGGCGGCGGCGGTGGCGGCGGCGGCGGCGGCCGCCGGATGCGCCACCATAGCTGACGCCTCACGCCCGGGTCTCAGCGGAGAGGGTGAGCGCGGCCGCACGGCCCGCGTCGCCGCCTCCCGGAGACGCTCTCGCCCCCAGAGCCGGCATGAGCTAACGTCTCCCCGCGGCCGCCGCAGGTTCTTCCACCGACCGCCTCTCCCTCCCCCCAGCGGCTGCTCGTCACCTAGCGCCCGCACGGCTCGCCACCGCCTCTCGGCGCGGGGGCTGCCGGGAGATGTAGTTCGGCGCGCGGGGTCCAGCCAAGGGGAGCCTGTGCTGCCGGGACTACAACTCCCAGCATGCTTGTCGGCTCAGCCCGCTCGGCTTCGCCCTCCCCCGCCTCCTCCCCAGTCCTCTCTCCGCCTGCGGTTCTTTTCTCCAGCCAGAACCTCTGCCCGCCGCGGCTGAATGTTTTCTCCCCAGTCGCCCGATTGGCTTCCGCTCCTGCGCTGTGCCAAAGGGCCGGAGTGATTTCAGCCACTGCCCCCCACTGACTTCTTTTATTTAATGCTGTGATTGACAAAGCACCAAAAGGACGGGAAAGGAGGCAGCTACCTGAAAAACTGGTTGCACCATCTAGTCCCCTGGCTGGAGCGGAAGATTAAGATTCACAGGACAACTGAGGAAATCACAGAAACCTGCCAAACAAATCAAATGGGTCAAAGTTAAGGATCTCCTCATCCTTTGGAATGGTTTTGTTTTTATGGGTCGTGTACAGCATTGCCCCTTTATCTGTGAGGTTGAAGTTACAAGATTCCTTTCCTCCCCCCATATCCTACTGAACTGTACTTTATGGTTTCCCTTTGGCTCCCTACTTATGTGCTTGAAGATCAATATTAAGAAAAATAAGGGGAGGAGGGGGGTGGAGCAATAGCATAAGGGAGAGGGCGTTCGCCTCGCAAGCGGCTGACCCCCAAGTTCGATCCTCGGCATCCCATATGGTCCCCCAAGCACCGCCAGGAGTAATTCCTGAGTGCAGAGCCAGGAGTAACCCCTGAGCATCACCGGGTGTGACCCCCCCACTCCAAAAAAGAGGGGATGGAGGTGGTACATGAACACAAGCACCGTGATACTTCCACAGCCAATGTGTTTATGATTCAGACCTTTATTAATGTGCTGGACAACAGGATGATTCACATCCCGAGGGGAATAGGAGTGCACCACATTTTATCTTGCTACTGAAAACTCGATTTTAAACGCTGTTTGTTTCTGAATTTTCAGCTGTGTTTTTCAGACGATGGCTGAACCTAAGTAATTTAAATCGAGCTAAACCAGAGATAGAACTACAGTATTCACTTTTTAAGACTAGCCTGGAGATGGACGGAGAGATATTACAGCAAGTAGGGTATTTTCCTTGCACCTGACTGACCTGGGTTCAATCTCCAGCGTCCCATATGGTCCTTGAGCTTGCCAGAAGTGATCCCTGTTGTGCAAAGCCAGGTGTAAACTCTGAGCAGTACCAGGTGTGGCCCAAAAACAAAAAGAAAAAGGGGATTGGGGGAGAGCCTGGGCAAGGGAGTGCTGTGCTACCACTCTTAGAGCATGGCCAGAGGAGTTAAAATCAGCTGGGGGTCCTGGTTGCTAGAGAAATCCAGGACCCTTTCAGGCATCAGCTACAAATAGAGACTGAATGTCATCACTGAAGTGCCTCTTATGCAGGAGGAATGGGTAGAATTTCCTTTTTCAGGGCCTCTCCCTCTACACTGGACCTATGCTGCAGGAGGTTTGGGCAGTATTTTCACAGGTATAAGGGGACCAGCTTCCCAAAGACTGTTGAGTTGAATGTTTACCAGCAATAAGATATTCTCATACAACAGCAAGGTGACTCAGAATTCGTCTTGGTCTGACATTGTATACCCAGAAATCATGTCTAATTCTACTAGTAAACGGCTTAGCTCCCAGGATTTCCCTCTACCTCAGATTTCCAGGCCATTATCTTTGCTTTTGACCAATTGGCAGTATAACTCACATAACCAACAGGTTCCCAGAATTGTTGGATTGGGTTAATTCTCAAGCACAGCTCACAAAAAAAGCAAGAAACCCATTTATTCTCCACGTCACCAATTTATTTTTTTAAAAAAATAGTATTAAGCAAGATCGTGGTATAAAGGTATGGAGGGCTCCTTGTGTTCATACAAGATCCTTTTCTTTGTAATGAAGACTTTATGACATAGGCATGATTGATCCAAACTCTCTAAGACTAGAAGTTTCAACTCTGTAATCACATGTTTGGTTATCCAAATGACTACCATTCCTGTTTCCCAAGCCTTATCCTCACAGACATATAAAAAAAATTACACTTTAAGCACTCTTAATATGTAAGGGGGTTGGGAATTGTAAGGTAGAAATATGATAAACCAAATGTATTTTTTAAATGTTAGCCACTTTAATCATATACATACATACAAATTCTAATCAAAATATCATTCCTGCTAATGGAATGCTACTGTGCGTGCTTGTATTGCACCCTGCAGGGTGGACAGGCACACCGAATATGATAAAAAAAAAAATTTAGCCCTCCACAGCAGGATCCTAGGAGGAAAAACGATATGTTTATTTCTGAGCTCTGTGTTACACAAATGTACATATTCTGCTTGCAGACAAGACTATGAGATGCTGAAGGGCAAGATCTTAAAGTAAAAACTAGGGCATTCTTTAAAAAAAATAATAGCTGGTTGCACTTGTTGCTGAAGAAGTCAGAAATCCTCTCAGGTAACAAGTCCAAATGAGACTGAATGTCCCCAGTTGGCAGCTGTTACATCAGAACATGTGCGCAAGTGATTCTGCAATTGTTACAAGTGATTGGAGCCAAACCCTAGTCCCCTGAGTATGAATGCACAGGACCTGCTGGCTAATAGGATGTCTATGGTACATGAAAGTGAAGTATTTCAATGTATGGACCTAGGCACAGGTCTAAACAAACCACCACCTAAATAAAATCCTATTCTACACTAAGATAATGTAATTACAGAGAGGTTTAAGATGCTAGACTACCTGATTAAAAAGTGGATGGCTGAGTATCTTATAATAAATTTCTCTGATAAAAATGTAAATGCTTGGGAAGAAGAAATCAGTTCCATAGACATTATCGGCAAATTCCAGAAACCCCAAGTCAAAATCTTTGTATTGTCAATTTGTAGCTCACCCAAATAGTGTTTGTGCAAAGCCCATCAAGACTTTAACCTACTAGTGATTTCAACCTCCACTAGAAATGTACTCTTAACTGGTCAGTTGGAATTTTCTGGTCAGCATGAATAAAGTAACCTTTTCCGTTCCCTAAAGGGAGATGACATCATCTACTGAAAACATTTCCCCATAGGTTGGTTCCATAAGCCCATAAGCTTGAAATAGTCCTTTCTTCCTTTATCTTGCCCTATTTCTACCTATAAAAACCTTTTATAACTTTTCGGAGCTCTTTGAATATTATTGTTGATCTTAGAGCTTCAGGTTATTTGTGTTAGGGAGTATCTGAATAGGACTGGCAGTGGACCATCCACTAAGAGATGCCGAACACCATGGAGATCATAGATCTCCATCTGGCACCACATCCAAGTTATTAAGTCTGATCACAATTTGTAGAGGTTGCCTCGGCCTCGAAATCACTTTCAGATACTGGTTCATTCTGACTTGGAGACTCTGCATGTGGTTGACTCAGACTCCAGCTCCACATGTTTGGAGAAGCCCCCTGCCGCCCAAACTCTGTGTTTAGTTCTACTGTTTAGTTTCCAGGGATGTATAACTAATGTCCTTATCTGGCCAGGGACAACTAAGCTTCAACAAAGATTTTTCCAGGCTCAAATGACACTGAAAAAAAAGAGACAAAATGATGCTTTCTGGTCATGATTATCATAACCTGTTATGCATCCATCGTTCTAGGTCTACATTAATCACATAAACAAGGTTCAAGACTAGTTTAGGTTTATTGCACCACCTAGATGTTGAGATCATATTAATTTTTTGTTTGTTTTTGGGCCACACCCAGTGATGCTGGGATTTACTAGCTGGCTCTACTCTTAGGAATTGCTCCTGGTGCTTGGGGAAACCATATGGGATTGCAGGGAGGGTTGGCCACCTGAAGGCAAGCACCACCCTACCCATTGTACAATCTCTCCAGCCCCTCATATTTATTTATTTTGGGTAAATAACTCCTGGTGATGGTTGGTGAACCATGTAGTATTGGGGACTGAACTAGGACTGGCCACATATAAGACAAGCACCTTAAGCCCTGCACAATCTCTCTAACCTCAATAAACAGATTTATAAACTAAGAATGGCCAATGTTTAGTAAACTGATATAAGGGAGTGATTATCAACTTGCTGAAAAATGTAAGGTTAGTAAGAGTAAGATACAAGTTGAAAATGCCCAGACTGACAAAAAGACAGAAAGCAAAATACACTGTTGTAAAGTCACTTCAAAATTCAGTAGAAGAAAAGAAAATTTATGAGATTATTTAAACCAAAATTTGGTACCAATTGCTGTGAGATAAATATCAGTGTTTACTAACTTCCTCCCTGGGTTTATATAGGTATACACAAGATTACATTATTATATTAAAGGGCATCTAGATAATTTCTAACATTTTTAGTCAACTAAAAGATAAGTTTCTGGAAGAATTAATAAAAGAGAAATATTAATTAACTCCAAA